CAGCAAGATAGTACCTTGTACTTGCCTTTTAGGAAATAGAAAGTTTCATCCACCCCCTCAATATGATAAATATAACATTGAATGAGTTTCCCTGTGGTATCCAGAGGGCTCTGAATGGTGTTTGAGACAATGCAAACTTAATATTTCATTTCTTCTGTGGCTGCTTTCCATCTTTAAATTAAATGTAGTCATCTCACTGCACTCTCTGTGTACTTCTCACTGTTGCTTAGTACAACCAGCCACAAATTTGGAGGTTGCTTTTCTGTAGTTTATAGCAGTAATACTAGTAAGTTGTTCTGTTAGAAGCTGACATATAAATTTAGGGTTTTCCTGTGGTCCTGTTTCAGACATTTAATCGCTGCTGATGCTTTTTAGCACAATCGTGCACGTATATACGTATCTACACACACACATATAATATAGGGATTTTGTCAGGGAGTGAGATTGAGAAAAGAGAAATGCCTTTATTCCCAATTATTAGAATTATAAAAGGATAGTTTTAATGTGACAACAGGTTTCAAATGAAAAATAACTATTTCTACTCAATGCTGTGGTGCACAAGCCACATATTTTGCACACCAAAAAGTATTTGACAGTCAAACAGTATAAGATATAATGAGAACACAAGGCAAAATTACTGTATATGCTGTCTTTTTACATACCTGTCTTATACTACCTTAAGGTTCTTAAACATAATATAATTTTTTTTCCATCTTAAAGAATACAAATTAGTAATTACATTTTCTTGGATAAATACTTACCCCACAAACTTCAAAGAGGCATGTAATAATCCAGCTTCCCAGCTGAAGCTAAACATCTCCCTGAGCTCTTGGTTGGCGATATATATAGCACTATTTGAGACACTCCCACTGTTGTTTTCAAGACCTTTTCCCACTGTTGCCTTCAAGGAGTCATCTTTTCAATCTTTCAGTTTTTCAGCCTTCCATCATGACCTCTTGATTCATTGCACCTTGAAAAATTGAGCAGGCCAATGCTAAGCTGATATTCTATCTGCAGCAAGTCAACCTTGATTTATTGAAGTAAAATTTATTTTAAAATTAATTATTTAAGCTTTTGCTGTAACATTCTCTTCTTCTCAGTGGAGAAGAGAGAGGGGAGGCACTCTCAGTGCTGAAAGCACTCTAACACAGTACTCCCACTAATCATGAAGGGAAAGGTGGATGCTGGGCTAACAGCTGAACATCTGGTAGATACGCAACAGCTCACTACAACATCTGTGCAGTGGAACAGAGGGAAGTTCTTCAAGAATGGTGGCCAGCTGGCCTTGGCAAAATACTGTTATTCCAAGTAAAGCCAGCTGCAGGATGGTCATTCTATTGAGAGGGATTTGAAATGGATTTTTTGACAAGTCAGAATAAACTGAAAACTTTTTGTTTAGTTTTCAAGATTGAAAGGGTTTTGGTCTGACAAAATTCAGAATATTCCTGGAGTGCAGAGATTGGTGCGGTGTAAGGCTTGTACTTGTTAAAAGCCACATCCATTTCTCTGCATAGGTGAGACTATAGTATTTTACCTGAGGCCAGACTATGAGGGTCTACAGAATAGGTGTGCAGGAAGAGGGGAGAAAGGCTCTGAGGAGAAAGCACATTTTGCTAAAACATTATTTTGATGAAAACATTTAAAGCAACAATGTTGAGATGACTTAGAGGCCTGAAGATGGGCATGGAAGAGGAAGAGATATGAGGAACAGTCAGGAATTACATATTTCCTGGGCTGTAAACCTGACTCCAGAGTATTCAGGTATTCAGAAATTTATTTAAAACAGCCAGTGGTATTTAAAGAATGACTAAGAGTCAGCTTTTAATTTTCATTCTGTGCAGGTCATGGCAGCAAGGCCCATGGTACTTGCACAGGCCATTCCCATAGATCTTCCTAACCTTTTAACTATGGCAGGTGAATAAACTACAGAATCTGTCTGCAGGAACTTTCATGGTCTGTTAGACAACCATAATGTACAATATAAAATATAATTCAATTGTAACAAGCTATTACTCTTTATTAAATAATAGACTTGATGAGCAGTAAAGAAACAAATCTGGCATCTGCAAAGGCCATAAGGGTGGATAATAGAAATCCAAATTTATACAAGTCACAGAACATACAGCAGTAAGTGCACCCTCTGTGAAAAGGAAGGGGAGCTGTTTTACCCTTAACAGTATTCTTTGCCTTGCTGAAATGCAAGGATGTATGTGCAGAGCCTGATAATTGGAGTGGGTTTTAATTTACCAATTCAGAATGAGGCTATTATAGCAGCAATGAAGATGGGGAAATCTGAAGATTAGAAAGAGCTTTCCTCTGATACTGGCATAAAGAAGGGGACCAAGGAGCTGGGAAAGCAGCTCTTTCCAGCATTTCTCTGTTCTTATTTTCACATGTTCTTATTTTCACATTAATTTCTCCTGGTTGCTCAGGAACTACTGAGCAGTGCTTGGGAGTAATGTTTGCTTGTGCTTTTGGAGGGCCTGTGCATCTGTATGACACACACCGTGTGCCCTGCACTGTGTCTGAGTGTCTTTATGATTGAGACCATAAGGAACCAGGACTTCCTACTATAAAACCTACTACCAGTTATATTTTGAGGAAATAAACATTAGTCTTCTTCATGGTTGGGAGGGGAGGGGGGGGGAGGGTGAGGGAGAGTGTGGAATGTGACTCAAAGCTTCCCTCTTAGGCTTTTTCAGTGACAATTTAAAAATCTTCCTTTGCCCTTCTTGCCTATCTATTGCAAAGCTTTTGAAGATATAATTAAAAATTATGTTACACATAGATAGTAAGAAACTGTTTAAAGGAAAGCACAGTTTCAGAGAAAACTGAGGCAAACTGTAACCATCGGAGAGAATAAAGTTTAGTGGAATGTGAATACGTAAAGAGCTACTCAGTAAGCAGACTGTGGGAAGCCACAGATCTTTCTGTTGTGGGACAAATGTGTGTTACCTTTCCATGGATCCTCATGCAAATACTATTTGACATCTTTTGCTTTGCTTTTTGCCAGTCTACACTTTTGTAGGCTGTCATGTGTGCTGGCGTGGTTCAACTTGGCACAGAGCGTGTCCCTGGGGAGGAGGCAGTGGAATGCCCTGCAGGGCTATGTCTGCTCCAGTCACCGTTTGGAGTTTCCAGCTGTTCTCTGCTCTGTGAGCTCTATTGCTCGGCATTGAACTGTTAGAAACTACAGTTTCCCACAGGAGAAGCATTTGCAGCCAGAGTGGAGGGCTTGCCTTCTATTTTTAAATAATCATCCATGATTTTGTGGAAGCAATGCCCTCTGCGGTAGGAGCTGCTGCCACTACACTAGCAGCAGGAGGTTACTTTCCAGCTTCTGGTGTTTTTCACAACATTTTTTTCATTTCTTGTAGATTAAAATGGCAATAAGGAAAAAAGAATGTATAAGGAAAAGATAAGGGGTTTTTTAATTATAATTTATTTAATAATTTATATTTTATAATTTATTTATTTTGTTGCTGGTTCTGAATTATCTAGATATCACTGAAGTAAGTTTTTGAAGTTTTTTTAAACAATACAAAGTTACTTCTGCTGTAGGAAACTAAGTGATAACCTTGTTTCAGCCACATCTCCTTTGCTCACGCACAAAATTCCTGTTGTTAGACTTGTGCTTTTTGGACTAATATGTTAAAGAACTTGCCTTTATCACATTAATTCTTTTTCTTTTACATTTTATCTGAAAATATATAGGCCTGATTGTGCAAGCCAATAAATTCTAATGCTGTTAGTTTCACTCTTTTTTCCTTTTAACCTGAGTAATTTTAATTGGAGACAAACCAGATTTACACAAAATTCCAATGGTAGTTGTTGAAAAACATGTATAGCTGTTTTTTGAATGCTTTATTTATCAAAGAGCTAACAACCTGTGTTTTGTGTTCTCTTACCAGGTAATGGTATGAAAACTGTCTCTACAGGCAATTTAACTATTTCAGGCTGTATTTCATGCTGCTTTTGCAGCCATATGAAGTTTCTCCAGACTATAATGGGTCTGTTTTATTCAGCAGTTCAATTTGTGTTGAGTACTGTAATTTACTGTAATTTTTCCTGCATATCTCAGCATTTGGAACACCCCATTGACTCAGTTCTACAATGGTACCAGTATGCTCCCAGTGTTTACCTTTCTTCCATCAGTGAGTAACAAGAAAAGGAGAAGTGATTCATCAAAGGCTGGAATACTTTTCCCATAAAAGCAAGTATTCTTAATGTGTCTGTGGATTTTGGACGTTACCTACTGCCAGACTGGGCAGGCTGCTCCATTCTTGTGACCTTGTGCTATTCCTTCTCACCACCTACTCCACAACATCCAGGAGGTGGTTTAGGGAACTAGATCATAAGCAAGAAAATTGGCTTTACTAGAATTTTTCCTCTTGATTTGCTTCCCAGAGAACTGCTTATCCCCAAGTCAGGCAGCGAATAGTGATCATGTAAAAGAGGGAGAAGGTTCAGAGTTTATGTACCCTAATGTTGAATTGTCCAGTGCCTAAACTCAGCATGGTGAATATTTAAAAGTGGGAGGTAGACTTCAGTGTCATTTACATTTTTGGAAAGGATTACCATTATTTTTACTTACTATATTAGACTATTCCTTTGTTTACTTAATTCAGCAGACTATTACATTTACTATTTAGTTTGCAGTGAGTTTATAATGATAAATTGTAATAATAATAATAAATAATAAACACAGACTACCCATTTTAAAATCTTCTGTCTTCTCTGCTTTCTGAGAATAAACCCTGAGAGCTCCAGTTTGAAACACTGCCCCCAATCAGTATTTAAAAGGAGGCCCTAGTGGAATATTTTGATGCTCCCCTATAAAGTGGTATTTTCCTTGAGACCTTAGGTAGGTGAGGCTAAAAGAGACCAAGTACCTGAGGTTATGCTTTTAATGCAGATCCCTATCCTCCTGTCTACTTCATGTGAGAGAAGCTATCACTCATCTTCAAGGCACTAAACTCATGGGTTTAATGGATCTCTACTGCATTTGGAAAGGCTCAAGTAAAATTTTATTTGAAGATACCTCTAGAGGACTACAGCATTTTGGTAAATACCTCATAGTGAATTTTAAGGTAGATATCATTTTCATGAGGTCTTCTAAAAGTAAAATATGCCTAAGATTCATGGGGTTTAGGGTTTTATCTTTAATTTGGGTCTTCTCAGGTAATCTTTTTATTTACAGCAAACTAGACTTTAGGATAAAGTCTAGAGAAATGTATTTTGTTTTGTCTTTTATGCTTATTGTTTCCCAGTTGGGATGTAAGTGGGGAGAAAGATCTAATTTCCAATATAACCTCCACTTAGGGAGAGGAATATCTTCCAAAAAAGAGAATGGTGTTGGTTTGGTTGTGTCTGATGAAGAAGAGGAATGGATGATCAGCTCTGAACTCACAAGTTATTGGGCAACACAGAGGCATTGCAAGAAGCCCCATGGAACAACCTGCTTCAGTGCCCTCTTCATTGACTTCCACAATTGTCTTCTGGATGGCCTTGGACACAGCCAAGCCATCTTTCATAGAGATTCCTGACAAATCAGCTTTTCCCCAGTCAAAAACATTCATTACTCCCATCTCCTGGAGAGTGTTGTTGAGAACATAACTTTCCTCCATCTTGAACTGGGGCAGGAACACCTTCACTCTCAGTGGTTCCATCATAGCCAAGCTGGTCCATTCTGTGAGCTTTTCATAGGTGAGGGCACATTCAAGCTGTAAGGTGGTATTGGAAGCAATGATTGGCACCATAATCAATGCAAGGAAAGTTCAGTTTTTCCCCCTTGTCTTCTGACTACACTGGAGCAATGCTAAAGCATTGCTCTCTAGTTATGTTGCTAGAGAGAAAATGAAGTGTTACCTGTTGTAGGCCAGTAAAGTCCTCACAGTCATCTTCAGGAAGAAGAATGAACATGCTCAGTTCATTATTGAAGTATTGGAGCTCTATGACTTTTGTTTTCAGTTCCTCTATGATGGCCATGTTAAAATAGCCTTCTTGAAACATCATCTGCACTTTCCTTTTCTCATTCTGGAACGCAAGAAGCATACTAAATGGAAAATACAGAAATCATCACCCTGGTTTTAATTGGTTTCAGCACTGAGCTTAGAGTTCAGTTCAAAAATATTATTTAAACTGGTCATGTGTTTAATATACTTGTAGCATTTATATGCTCCCCTCAACTGTAGTCACAATGAAGTTATCCATTTTAGAACCATAAAAATTACATTTCCCTTTCTAATGGTGCAAAATTACTTTACTCAGAACTTTCTCATTACATCTTTCTTTTTTCTGGTGTGTCAGATGAGGAAACTGATTCATCTTATGCAGCCATAAATTAAATTCTTCATGAATAATGTATACATTCCCCTGAGATAATTTGTCTTTAATACATTTTTTCCTGAAAGCACACACTGTTCTGTTAATAAATAGTAGGAGAGAAGCAGAATCCTCACTTTCAATCTCAACAGCAGACTATTTTTGAAATAGCACCCTTAGTTGCAAAATCCCCAACACAGTTAGTACATGTGCTCAGTGGATTTGGTCCGACAAGGATCTCAGCTGCACAAGAACCACTTCTGATGTGAATTGGTACAAACATTTACATATTTGGTTAGGAAAAGAAAGAAATACAAGCCTTTTAGCACTCTCACTTAAGACCACTGTTTTTTCTTGGGATAACAAGGAGGAGAAAAGCCCCCATCTGTTATTATAGGAGACAGACATCTGACCTGCATCCCCCAGCTGCTTCAGTTCCTGCCCATACTGTACCTTGTTCAGGTGGAAATATGCTTCCTTAGTGTCTTCTTTCTTAAATTCTACTGCCCACTTTCCTTTAAAATATATAGCATTGACCAGGACAAGTACAGTAGAGGGATCAATAAAACCAGCAGCAAATAGGTCTTTAACTTTACCTTGAAAAATAACAAATTAAGACAAATTATTACTTTGCTCCAGCAATCAGCTGACTTTGACTATTAATAGTTATTTCTTTTAAATTGACAAGTGGAATAATGCTGTCAGACAAATGACAAATATTTATGTACAGCTTTGGAACCAAGGAGCTCAAGACATTTTTATTCCCCTTATTACATTTATTTCCTATTGAAAATAAAAAAATTAATGCAGGTATTTAATATATAAAAATCTTGCTATCTTTGGAAAAAAAGTGGAGAGTGATATTCATAAGTGGTTCAGTTGCAAACAAAAAAAACTGCACATTTTTTCTTTACCTTTTGTTTCATTTTCAACCCAGAAGTTAATTTTGTCTCTGACTTCTTCTTCAGTGTATTTAAAATTTACTGGTTCCAGTTCTGCTCGATAGAATTTCTTTGTGGAATCCAAGTATTGCTGGAAAGTACAAATTGTAGAAGTTTATTGCAATGTGATTATTTTTATAAGATGGGTCATTTTATGGCTTCAGGATAGTTCCATGTAATAGATCAGCAAGAAAGAAATTGGTAAAAAAGGAATATGTCCCTTTGTACTTCATGATGGAAAACATTCTGCTGAGCTCCCCACTCCTAGGAGCTGTTACAAGGGAGACCACGATCCCTTACCTGGAAGAATGGATAAGTAATTTCTCCAAAGAGCCTGTTGGCAATGGTGAGACAGCAGCCTGGTCCAGGTTCACTGACTTCAGCCAGCAGAGCCTGGAACTGGGAATGGACTCCTTCATCTTCTTCACACTTCAAACAGGAAAACAGATGTTTTGTGGTAGGCTTGAGCTTTCCTATGCAAAGTTGGACCTGAGGGTGAATTGCAGCCTCTCTTTGCATGAGAAACCCTGCTCCACCCAGCTGATTCAGGCACTGGAGTAAATGCACCAGGACACCACCTCCTATTCTCCTTGTGCCACATGTGCAGAATGACAAAACTGTTCCCCTTCTTGCTCTTGACCTCCAAACCATGCCGTATCCTACAGTGGTGTCCCTGTGCACAGCAAAGGGCTGCTGGCTTGGAGACTGGGAGAAGCAAGCTCCAAGGTGCTTTTGGCATGCTCTGTAGGCAAACCTTTGCATGTGGCAATTGAAGCACTTATCACATTTTAGATTGGCACAGCTGTTTTGGTTAGACATCCATAATGAGAAGTCTCAGCTGTTGAAGTGTGTGATCTCACAAGGCCCCTTAAATAACTAATAAAGGAACAGTAATAAGCAGGTTTGTAAATCTAGATGGAGAGGCTGATCAGCCCTGATGTGCTTTCTGATTAAGTGATTGTCTTCAAGGAAAAAGGCTGTCAAACTGGCTCCTGTGGATTCAGCTCAGAGCTGCAATTGTGTCTTACCTGCTGAGAAGGGTATCTGTTTCTCTGTCTCGTACTGCTCAAAACTTCTCTGAAATGAAAGACCTGCAATGTAAATGTTGGGTGAATGCAGATGAGTGAAGGTACTGCAAAGCTAAAGCAGTGTTGCAAGCCTATCCCAAAGCACAGCCAGACACAGGCCCTGCAGAAAGGCCCTTTTGCTCTTTACCCTAAAATCCTTGCAAGTGAACAAGTAGTTTTAGGAGATGGTGAGTGCATGAATCTTTGAAATGTTTCTATATGAGAAAGGAGGCTTTGGGCATCCAGAGAAGGAAAAAAAAACACATTACAGGTAAGGAACTCTTCTGAGCTCTAAGAGTGCCGGGATACCTCCAAAACACTTTCTTTGGCATTGATGTATTCATTGAACAGTCAATTCAGTAATAATGCTTAGTCTGAAGAAGTTTGGTATTGGGAACAGAATAATGTATTTTTTAAAGGGCTTTCTTTGTGCATCAGCCCTTTGGATGTTTAGGAACTGTATCACATGGTACAATCAGCCTCTTGGCTCATATCTTACCAGGGTTCCCTTTTCAGAGTAAAGCCCTACCTTCTCAATCTGCTCGAGTGTGCTGCCCCTGGCTCCAAGGACAACCATTCCAAAGGCAGCTGACAGACTTAATGGGGAGAAGAAGATGTTTTCATTTCTTTTTCTTTTGTTTAGCTCTCTGAAAAAGTCAAGACAGAACTTGGCATTGGCTGCACTGAGAGAGCACATTGTGGCACTGTGATGACCTGAAACAAGAGTAAAAATAATTTAGGTTTTTCATCCTTATATCTGCTATGTTTAGATGCCCTGGTAAGATTTTTTGCAATAGTTTGGCTGAATCATTCAGTACTTCATGGAAATTCACTGTTCATTACATTTGGGATTTCACAGTGAATCTGAAAACCAGCGCCTTGAATAGCAAAAGAAACACATTTGCCAAAACAATATTCTGAGTTGAGCCAGCTCAAGCAATAGCTATGGCTTTGCCACTTAGCGCTAACTTTGTCCTAACCAAACTTTCAGCTCAGTTTATATCCTGATCTTTTTGCCTTGAGTCCTCTAGGCATAGCACTTATCAATTACACTTTTGATTGTTTCTTACTCTTTGTTTCTCTCTAAAAACTTTGTGCGTATTACTCAGCTGTGCTTCAGATACATGTCCTTCTAAGGCTGGTTGCTTAACAAATGTTTGACAGAAAATGGAACTACAGACAGGCTCACTTAGTAAGATTTTGAGCAGAAACACATTTTGCATTAGTTGAAAATTCCAGACATATTTTTTATCTGAAGCTTAAACTCTTCTTGCTGCAGCTTGAACTCTTTTTCCCAGATACCCTTCAGTTACAATCATAATTATTACAAATAGGTCATCTTGAATGTTCTGCAAAACTCTTCATATCTTAGACCTAGAACAGAGTTCCTGTCTCATTAAAGACTTAAAAACGTAGTGTCTGCATCCAGTGAAGTGTTGCAGAAATATCTGATCATATGTTCAGTACTTTAGAAGCTCCACTATTCTAAGTCACATTTGGTTTGATTCTTACTGAGCCTGAATAATTTCCTCCACACATGTAGTAAGCATATTTCCCCTATTACACAAAAAGAATAAAGTATCCATATAAATATTTGAAAGATAGAGCACTACAGAAAGACTATGTTCTTATAAATTACCAGTCTGGGTCATACAGAAGAAGTGGCAAGTGGTTTTATCTTCCTTAGAAGCACACTCGGAAAGTAGGCGTTTAGAAGTATTATTGTACAAGTTAAGCACAGATTCATTACACAGCCCATACATTTTAACATAATCCAAAACATTGTCACTTCTTCAAAATACATCACATGCCATATATAAGTGCAAAGGAGGTATATATTACTAATGCACATATTGATTCTTAGATCCTAGTTCTGTCATTTAGAATTAAAGATCATGGAGATATTTACCTTCTCCTCAGTATTGACGGTGTCAACTTGACACTCAAGCTTCTTGACGGAGCTTCTGGAGCAATGGGATATAAAATCATTGCCACTCCCAGTGGCAGCATAAATTTCACTCATGATGAATCACATTCCTATCTGTTGCAACCAGTTAGAATAATTAGGGACCTGTTGTGGGATCTTGAATTTTTCCATATCCCTAGGAGTTCAGAAAGAAGTCACGATTTTAAATGCATACTAAGATGTAAAAAAAAAAAAAAAAAAAAAAAAATCTAATTAATTATTAAAAAAAGAAAACAAACTCCTAGAAACAAAGACAATTCCAGAGGGTTTTTTTACCTGTAAATAATTAATTCTAAGAGTTTTATTGGTTTTTTAACATAAGAAGTGGCACCAATGAAGGCAACATACAGTTTTTGTAGTAGAAACAATTATACTGCTATAACCCGCAGATTTAGTCCAGGGCTAAACTATATCCTAAGTTTAGTCTAGAACTTCCAATTACTCCTCATTTTTGTCAGTGTCTCTGAGGACACCTGATCACTGTCTTATATTGCTTCAGCAAGGCATAGGCAGCAGGGGCAGAGCAACCTATTTATAATAAGTAGTATATTTCTGGTGTTATTTTCCTGACAAATGATCTTTCTTCACATTCAGGTTGATATGGTGTGTGGGTGGGCAAGTATTCTAATGAGTGTATGCAAGCACTAACAACACTGTTTTGTAACAAGTACTTAGTTATCACTACTGAGATATATTTACACATCAATCCAACCGGATACTCTGGTATTTAGGAAACTCTGAAGGCAGTTTCCTATAAGTCATAAAGTACTCACGGGGTTTAATTCCCTTTAGGTTTGAGTTTTCTCAGAGCTATTTCTTGGGAGGAAACAGAAGATAAAAACACACTGTTCATTCAAGTCCTGAGAACAAGAGAGTCAGACCTGCACAGATTTTGCCTGAAGCAATGCAGTCTGGTTTAACTTGCCTAACACTGGGGCAAGAAAATTTCCCAAAGAAGCATCTGGCTTGCTTTCCTGGTTTCTGGCTGCTCTCCACACAGTCACCTAAAAGCCCACCTACTGAGCCTGTTTCTCAGTGCTAAACTTGGTCTGACCATCCAGGAGCCACTCCAGCAGTCACATCTGCGCTGTCACAAGTGGGGATCAAGGCCACTTCAGAGCTGCATCCCCCACACCCACAGTCACACCAGATTTCCTTACCATCACAGAGCCTCAGACATCTCAATCCTTTAAATAATTTAATCACGGTGCAATAACAACATATCAGCTCGAGCTGGTGCCTCCAAGGAGGGACCCCAAAGAAAGGACACCTTGGGCTTTTATACCCTCACAACCTAAGTGAGGGAAAGTCCAAGGTCCTTGGCTCCTGCTGTGTCTCTGAGTGTCTGGTTCCCTGGCCAGGCCATAGCTCCCTGGGCCCTCTGTTCTGCACTGGTTGGGAATTTCACAGCCTGGGGCTCCCACCCAGAGCTCAGTCTGCAGCTGCACCCGGAGCTACCTGCACGGAATGGATTCCCCAACACTCACCACTGCCATGGACAGGGAGCTGCAGAGCAGAACTGGGCAGATGCTGTTCCCTTTCTTGTGGCCATGGGCTGTTCTCTGCAGTCTTATTTTGGGCACCAGGCACAGTTGGAGGAAAAATGTTGTGGAATATAAGTGGGGGTAAGTATACAGGTAGGAGCTACAAGATGTAACAGTTTTAACAGGGTAGCATCCAGGTGTCTCCCAGAACAGAAATTAGAGGGTTTTTGAACANCACTACTGAGATATATTTACACATCAATCCAACCGGATACTCTGGTATTTAGGAAACTCTGAAGGCAGTTTCCTATAAGTCATAAAGTACTCACGGGGTTTAATTCCCTTTAGGTTTGAGTTTTCTCAGAGCTATTTCTTGGGAGGAAACAGAAGATAAAAACACACTGTTCATTCAAGTCCTGAGAACAAGAGAGTCAGACCTGCACAGATTTTGCCTGAAGCAATGCAGTCTGGTTTAACTTGCCTAACACTGGGGCAAGAAAATTTCCCAAAGAAGCATCTGGCTTGCTTTCCTGGTTTCTGGCTGCTCTCCACACAGTCACCTAAAAGCCCACCTACTGAGCCTGTTTCTCAGTGCTAAACTTGGTCTGACCATCCAGGAGCCACTCCAGCAGTCACATCTGCGCTGTCACAAGTGGGGATCAAGGCCACTTCAGAGCTGCATCCCCCACACCCACAGTCACACCAGATTTCCTTACCATCACAGAGCCTCAGACATCTCAATCCTTTAAATAATTTAATCACGGTGCAATAACAACATATCAGCTCGAGCTGGTGCCTCCAAGGAGGGACCCCAAAGAAAGGACACCTTGGGCTTTTATACCCTCACAACCTAAGTGAGGGAAAGTCCAAGGTCCTTGGCTCCTGCTGTGTCTCTGAGTGTCTGGTTCCCTGGCCAGGCCATAGCTCCCTGGGCCCTCTGTTCTGCACTGGTTGGGAATTTCACAGCCTGGGGCTCCCACCCAGAGCTCAGTCTGCAGCTGCACCCGGAGCTACCTGCACGGAATGGATTCCCCAACACTCACCACTGCCATGGACAGGGAGCTGCAGAGCAGAACTGGGCAGATGCTGTTCCCTTTCTTGTGGCCATGGGCTGTTCTCTGCAGTCTTATTTTGGGCACCAGGCACAGTTGGAGGAAAAATGTTGTGGAATATAAGTGGGGGTAAGTATACAGGTAGGAGCTACAAGATGTAACAGTTTTAACAGGGTAGCATCCAGGTGTCTCCCAGAACAGAAATTAGAGGGTTTTTGAACAGCAAGACACAAACAAGTATTTGTCTTTCAGGAACACTGGGAATTTTTAATCCAAATTAATACAGTGAATGAAAAATTGCAATCCTGAAGCACAATAATTCTTGGCCTTTGGGCACAGGGGTGCATGCTAAAAGCCACAAGTGCCTTTAAAATGCATTCTTCTGTGTAGAAATCTGTTAATGCAAAGTTCAGGTTATCTAATATGCTCGCAGAGTGAAACACTCTCTTAGCCCCTGCTTAGTTTTCTAATACTTTTAACTGTCTTAACTGTCTTAACTGTCTTAAGTGAACAGGTTTATGCAGATTTCTTCAACATTGTTAGTTATTTCTCTGGTTTTGTAGGTACTTCTGTTCTCAATTAATTTTTAATTAATCTGAAGGTTAATTATGGCTCCATTTTTCTATTTGGTGGATATTTGTTTCACATGAATAATTTTTTGTTAGAGGTCAAATTACAGACAATGGAATTGGACAGGCCTTTTTTCCCAGAAAGGAACATTCTCTGCTGTTCTTCTGGTCTCCTGCATTGCTATTTTGTTCTCTTCTAGGATAGTTTAGTGTAGGTTAGAGTGTGGCTTAGACAGAGATATCTTTTTAATGGGAATGTCTGAGAAATCCAGGAGTTTTTGTTCAAGCAGATTGAAGGATCTCCTGAACTGTAGGTTTTGAGGAGACTCACTGTGCAAATGCTTGCTGGGAAAGGCAAAGATACAGCTCATCCTGCTGTTGAACAGAGGGCTAGACTAGGACTTGCACCACATTTTCCAGATCTGTGACTCCCTCCTTGCTCTTTAAATAATGCAGAGGTTCATTGCAGGCTAGAGAAAAGCTATGAGAATTTGAGATATTCACAGTATTCTCAGAACCAGGAGACTCTCTTTATTCCTTTCCATTGATAACCTTGCTAAAAGGAAAGGATAAATGGCAGGAGGACTTTTTCTAAAGGTTACAGAGAAGCAGCTGCTGAGATGCTGTTGTGTGGAAAGGTAAGGTGAAGATGCAAAAACACTGCAAGTACAAAGGCACTGACAGAATTTGTTTCAGATAGTTAAACTACGCTGTCAAGAATGCAAATTTCTGCCCTTTTAGCTAGTGGTCAGATTCTTGTCATAATAAAGTAGCTTTAAGGCACAGGGGAATGGATTGCAGACTGACCTGATTTCTACACCTAAATTTCCACATATTTAAATAAGACTGTAAATAGTGCTACATCCTTAGGGATAAGTTTTGCCCAGCACCGTTTATCTGTTTGCAGCTATTTTGGCTGAAAGTCTCAACATTTTACTTCACTTTCCAGCAACATTTTTTTAATGTTTCTGATGGCCTTGGAGCCAGGATCAAGGGAATGAAGACTTCTCTATATGATTTTTAAACCACAAAGAGTTCTGATTACATGGATGAGATAAGCATAGGAAGGCCCAAGCAAGGAACAAAGATCCAGCCGGTGATGTCAATCACAGAACACAACCTCACAGCAAGAAGCAATGACTCACTCAGTAGCAGAACAGACCACCAGCATATTCCTTGTGATTATTTTTTGCTTCAAGAGAATGCAAGAAACTTGGATGTCTACAGTTCTCCCTTGGCTTTTTTCTCACTGTTTGCAGCCATATGCTTCCCTTGCTGTCAGTGTCTGCAGGACGTAGCAGGGAAGCAGATTCTTGTCAAAGAACTGATCTCAAGTTTGATAGCAAAGGTTTGTCTTGTCCCTTTCATCTTACAAAATGCACGTTCTGCTACCACCCTGCTCAGGTGGTAATTACAGAGTACCTGATTTGTCCGAGGTTACCTATGAGTAAAGGTACCATTAGATAAGTGGAGTTGCTGAATAGTAAGAATAAAACAAGGACTCGTTGATTTTCACTGGCCAAGAGGGCCCCCCTCCCTGTTTGTCAGACATCTGCTACAACAAATAACAAGTCTTATACAATATATCAGAGCAATTATGATGATAAACTGTCTGTGGTGATCAACAGAAACTTTAGCATGACAGGAAACATACCTCTTGAATTTGAAGAAGCTGGAGTTACTTCAGATGTTGCTGATGGTCTCAGCTCATTTGGGAAGCATCACATGAGGGGATTCTGATATTAATTTCTGTGATCTTCAGGTTGTATGAGTCAAGAACCAATTGAAACAGCTTATAAATAGCACTGCTGACTGCTGACTCTAATACTGAATTTACTGGCAACAAGGTACAAGAATTGATGAGTGTAAACCTTCAGGGACCTGAGCCACCTCATGCTGGCCATTCAACTTGCCAGGGAAAAGTTGAACCCAGCACTGTTGTTTTTCCAACTTAACTTCTTAGTGCACAAGAAACTTTTCCACAATTGCAATAAGCCCCATTCACTCCCCGGTGAAATTTAGACATGACATAAAATACTCTTCATCTTTGTTTTACTTACCAGCATCCAAAAATAGCTTTA